GAGCCTCATTTGAGGAAATGCCTCCATGAGATCCAGCTGTAAGGCATTTTCTCAATTAGTGATCAACAGGGGAGGGCCCAGCCCACGGTGTGGTGGGTGGTACCACCCTGGTAGTCCTGGGCTGTATAAGAAGCTGGGCTGAGCAAGCCACGAGGAGCAAGCCAGTAAGCAGCACTCCTCCATGGCCTCTGCATCAGCTCCTGCCTCCAGGATCCTGCCCTGTGAGTTCCTGTCCTGATTTCCTTCAGTGATGAGCAGCAATATGGAAGAGTAAACCAAATAAATCCATTCCTCCCCAATTTGCTTTTTGGTCATGGTGTTTTTTTTTTTTTTTTTTTTTTTTTTTTTAAGCAGCAATAGAAAACCTAACTAAGGCAGTTATGAAATTGGAAGTATCGCTGTATATAATCTTGTCAGCTAAAACTGTTTCAGAAAGTTACAGTGGGGGTGACAGATTGACAGGTGTTCAGGAGGGAGGCAGCATGGAGAGGCCGTACTTCATCGGGATCTCTAGCCTGGGACCCAGATGGGGACATGAGCTACCTGTACTCTGGTCATCTGTTCATCGAGCCACATGCCTGATGATGGAGCTGCCAAATGAAGGACATGTTTGTCTAATTCTCAAAGACCTCTGAGCTACTGACAAATTACCTTGGTCTTGACGGTTTGCCTGTAAACATGGGAGGGGAGCGTAAGACACTTGCGTTTTTCACGTGGCATTGCATGTAGGGGACACTGTGATGGACTTTGAAGAATTTTCTCAACATAGCAGAGGAATAGCTGCTGTCACTCCTCCCCCTCTTCCTCCTCTCTCTTTCCCTCCATCTTCTTTCCTGAGAACTTCCTGTGGACACTGAGGGGCATCTTTACTTTGTGGACTTAAGGGTGCTTGGGAAGGCATGATAAATGACCTCCACAGAACTCCTACCCTATTTAGCAACTGGAGCTTGACATTCCAATTTAATTTCATATTTTTAGCTCAAGGCATGTTGTGGAATATTTGTTTATACTGTAAAGATGTGTCTCTGGCTAAGGCACCTTCTGATCGGTTTAATAAAGAGCTAGATGGCCAATATCTAGGCAGGAGAGATAGGTAGGTAGGACTTTGGGAAGGGAGAGAAAAAACTTGAGATGAATCTAGACATCAGGGAGACACCAACAAGACACGGAGGGAGTTGGACATACAGAATGAAAGAAAGGTAAAAAGACACATGCTAAAACATAGATTAACAGAAATAGGTTAAGTTATGAGAGCTAGTGGGACAAGCCTAAACTAAGGCTGAGCTTTCATAATTAATAATAAGTCTCCATGTCGTTATTTGTGAGCTGGTGACCCAAAGAAAAATCCGACTATAGAGGCATGTTGAAATAAAGAAGTAATCGTGAATTAGTTTGCTGTTAGCATATTGTTTTTATTTATGGCACCCTGAAATTACATATGTCACAAAGTTCCGTGAGAGTGCAGAACACTATGGATTTACTTAATTGACCCAGTCCTCTCATCTTGCATCTCTGGGAACATAAGTTGACTTTGTCTGGGCTGCTAGAAAATTTCCAATAGGCCACATGGCTCATTGTGGTAATATTTTATTTGTGCTGAAATGTGATATTTTATTTGTATGTTAATAAAGTTTGCCTGGAGATCAGAGGTCATAGCCATAAACAGAAGTCAGGCGGTGGCAAAACACGCCCTTAATCTGATCACATGGCAGGCAGAGTCTCTGTGTGGTCAAGGACACAGCCAAGCGTGGTGACACAGACCTTTAATCCCAGTACCAACCATAGAGACCTGGAGGTCTGTATAGACAGGCAGTGATGAGGCAGTGACATGGCTGGGCTTAGAGCCAATGAGAAGGCAGAAAAGGAAGGCAATTAAAAGCACAGTTTAGACAGGAAGAAGCTCTCTGTGGAATCTACTGGTGTGGTGGTAAGCTAAGGCTAGTCATGGCTATTCGCTCTGATCTCTTAGGCTATTACCTCTGTATTTGGCTCTGTGTTTCTCATTAATAAGTCTGTTTAGAAATTCATCTACAGCTTAGGAACAGAAGGTGAACATTGCTCCCAGTTTTGGAGCCTGGATGTCTGATATGAGGGTTCCAGTGTAATCCCCTTCTGATTTGTAGACTGCTACTTTCTTGTGTCCCCAAATATGGAAAGAACTCACAAGCTCTCTGGATTTTTTTTTAATAAAGACTTGAGTTCCATTCAGGAGTGTGCCATTCTCAAGACCTAATCACTGTACTACCCCAATATCATTGTATTACCATGGGAGCTTCCTTGTAGACGTTTATGAGTGATACAGATCTTCAGCCCATTGCAGTAAACTTACCTTGATTTTGGCAGTCTCATTCTCCAGTAGCTTCAGCATAGTGCCTGTTACACACACACACAAAAAAAACTTCAGCAAATGCTTATTGAACACACAGATTAGTATAGAAATGATAGGAAAAGGGGTAGATTATTATGGAAAAAAGTGTAGAATATTGAATCTACTTTAATCCAAAAGACAACTGTTGATCTCGAAATATTTTACATTGGTATGGATTTTAGTTTATTGATACAAATTTAATTATACTCTATGTATATTTCTACTCTTGTTTAAGGTATTGTTTCTGCTGCTCATTTAAAAATGTAATATATAATTGAAATATACAGATTAATAGTCATTTATAATAGTCAAATTACAGTTATGTTAGGTTTTCTAGGTATACAAAGATATATTTTAATTAGATAGATAATCTTTAAACACTTCAAAGACCTACAGAATATGGCATGTAATATGTTTAATAACCTAAGGCTTTTCATTATAGTGAGTCATGTCTGTTACTGGCAGCAACAATTACTTCAAAGAGGATGGTGGACATCGAAGAAACTCCATTTGGAGCTTGTTTCCTTTATGGCAAAAGCTAGCCATGTGGGGAAAGAAACTGCCCTTGCCTCAATTGCTGATAGTTACTGTCCAAACTGGACCAGCAGGATTCAAAAAAAGTGACTGCCATACTTTGCCAAGACAAGATAGGACAGCCCTTCAAAATGTCCTGCTTCTGAAAAAAGTCTGTCAGATATGCTAGGCCTGTAGGCCAAAGATAGATGCCTCAATATTACAGAGAAATTGTGGGTGGCTATACAGGCAGCCTGAAGTCCCTATCATTAGGTAACATTGCATCCTTCTGGAGTCTTTGATGGAGTTGAAGACTAGATAGTTACAGTTATAGTCCTCTCAAATATTAGCATATTGGGTATGAAACTAAAGACATATTGGGTATAAAACTTAGATTCTTCAGGAAAGGACAACTATTAGAGTAATCTCTATGAATTTGCCAGTTATCTATGATTTGAACATCTATAACGTGTTTCTTACTTGATATATGTTCTTATTGTATGTAGTTTTAATTTTTGTTAAGGTTATTACCTTTCCTTTCTTCTGGACAATACTTGATAATAGTGTTTGTTGTATATAGTTTTATTGTGTTAGGATTAAAACCTTCCTTTTTGATTAGACAGAAAGGGGAAATGCTGTGGGATGATCCTTCTGTCCACTGTGAATGTATGTTGCTCTCATTGGTTGATAATGAAGCTCTTTTGGCCTATGGCAAGGCAGGATAAGGTTTGGCAGTACAATCAAAATGAAGACTGAGATGAAGAAGAGTGGAGTCGGGGGTGAGTAGGACTCCTTTTGCCAGCTGCAAAAGGAGCAAGATGCCAGGAAGCAGGTAAACCATGGGCCATGTGGTGATGCGTAGATTAATAGAAATGGGTTAATTTAAATATAAGAGAAATGTTAGTAATGAGCCTGAGATATTGGCCCAGCTTTTATAATTAATATAAGCCTTTGTGTGGAATTTGGGAAGTGGCTTCTGGATATTTGGGAACAGGTGGGATAAAAGGCTCCACCCCCATTTACACACAGATATATGAACAACCGTGATTCTAGTTCACTGTGAGTGACTTCAAGAATGTTAAGATCCTATGCTCCTAATCTCACAAGGTATGTTCATAAGGAATACACATCATTATTTGATTTCTGGTTTTATTTTCTGGGTTCTGGATTTCCTGTCTTCAGACTCCAGCTGTCTTGATTTTCAGACTCTAGATTTTCACTTGGAATGAAAATCACAAAACCTTTGCTTTGTTCAATGGACTCTATGTATTTTCCAAATGAACTTTAAAAACCCCAAGTCTCTATAGTTCTATTTTGTCAATAAAGACTCAGGAGTCAGATGCTGGAGTGAAAACCTACTAGATCAGAGAGGCCAACTGCTTCCTCCTCCACCATCCTTCCAGAAACTCTCCCAACAGGATGTCCCTCCCTTCAACTGACTCTCTCTGACCCCCAGACTCCCCTCACTCTATGGCAACTTCCAGGAAAGTGGTTGCTTGCTCCACCTCTTGCTCCAACCTACAGTTGACTGCTTACAATATTCAAGCAGAAAGTTCTTGGATTAAAGGTGTGTTCTAGGGCTGAGCCACACCACAACTAGAAATGGGTCTTTCCAATAAATAAGGCAATCTCGGGGTTCACAGTGTGATCAAATATCCTGCAACACCCTGCCTCAAAACAAAACAAAAACAAAACAGAGCCTACTGCGATATTATTTTCATTGCTTTTATTAGTCCTTCTGCTACTTGCCCAGGCACTATCTGTTTAAATGGTTGCCAATGGCATTTTACTCAGAAACTCCATCCCCCCCATTACATCAGTTTGGCTGTGTGACTAGTTGATCGAACATGCCTCATTTCTGTAGAGAAGAAGCCAGTATGCCTGTCTATGGTCTCTCTCCTTTGTCCAGGAAGCGCAAAGCAACAGTGAAACCACACATCATCTTATTTGTACCATGGATTCTTTAGAACATGGAAGATACTGATGGATCCCATATCAGAACAGTACCTTTAAAACATGGTATTTGAAAGGGAAAAAAAATACAATAAACTGTGAAAACATTTAGAGAGTATATTAGTTACTATCCTGTTGCTGCGATAAAATATCATGACCAAGGCTTATGATTCCAGAGGGATGAGAGTCCACTGTGGCAGGGAGGCACAGCAGCAGCTGGCAATTGTGGTGGCAGAGGAGGGAAACTGAGAGACTGGCAAGCAAGAAGCAGAGAGAGCAAAGTGCAAGTGTGGAATGGGTAGAACTCTCAAAGCCAGATTCCAGGGATGTGCTTCTCCAGCAAAGCTGCACCCAAACATTGTCACCAACTGGGAACCAAGTGTCCAAGTATTTGAGCATATGGGTGACCTTTCCTTCTTTCTTTCTTTCTTTCTTTCTTTCTTTCTTTCTTTCTTTCTTTCTTTCTTTCTTTCTTTCTTTCTTTCTTTCTTTCCTCTCTCTCTCTGCTTAGAATCATAATTAAGTCATATCACAAATTTCAGTGTTATCAAGGATGTAGCTTTACCAATATGAATACACTCATAACATCTCATGGACAGCATTACATATCCATGGACACTTTGGGCGCGGATGGAACTTTGAGTTCTATTCATGGGCTCTGTGAGATGAAGGAGCCAAAAGATGGTGTAGGGTACTGATCACTGTGTGAAGGAAATACTTAACAAACTAATACAAGTCCCTGGGACTGACTGAGAGAGAAAATGGCGCTCTTGCACACGAGTAATAATATGCGTTAGTCTGTTTGTTATCTCTGACTTCATCAGTGCTGTATATATTTACCAATTGATCATTATCTTACTACTGTTGTCTTGACTTTGTTAGCAGTTGTTTTTTTCCTTTGTGCTTATGTGTGCATATGTGTTGATACAAGGTCATGCTAACCCAGTTTGGCCTTAAACTCATAATCCTCTTGCCTCAGCTTCCTTCTTGCTGGAATCACAGGCATGAGTCACCACACCTGGCTTTAATATACACTTTAAAGTAAAATTTTAACTTAAATGTTAAAATTCCACTCATATAGCTGGCATTATGAGACGTGTCATAACACCTGTAGGTAATGGGCTGGACTTAACATATAGCAGGGACATATGGAAACTAAATTATGTCTCTCCCAGTGACTTTGACTTCTTTTCCTTTTCAGTGTGTGTACCAGATGGTTGCCAGCTGGATGCCTATAACTAAATCAGAAATGACCAATATTGAGTATTTCTGAAGCTCCCATTCCAGGACAAATTTTATGCATGTGAATGGACTCCTTTTTCTAACAATGAGCATCCCATCTTGGGGACAGCTACAGCAAGTCACGTGCCACAGCCAGGATCTCTTCCTCGATGAGAAAGGCAGCACAAAATGGTGTTGTTTGTGCACAAATGGAAACCGTGACA